TTGGCCAGCTATTTGTCAGGCCCGATCGAGGGTTTATGATGTCGGATGCAGTAAAAGCTGTCGCGCGCCAGGATGTAAAAAATCGCACGCTTTCCACAAGATCTTAGCTATTACAGAACCTTTGGTCGCATTGTGCCCTCCTTTTTTGCCTCTCTTGTTCACGTTTGGCTAGTCTGGAACTGCTCTTTGCTCCCTATGGCTGTGACTGTAACCGGCTGGACGTTCACAGCGAGGCTCGAGAATGGGTCCTCACCCTCAACCTCAGTGTGTTGACTGCCGCAGAGGAAAAGTTGTGATCCCCGTCCCATTCTTTCCCATTCTTTTGTGATAGCAACATCTGCATTCTCCTTATCACTTCGAGGACGATTTAACACACTCCTCGCACGTACCCGATGGATTCTACTAACTTCTCAGTACTTGTCATGAATTGCTACTCATCTAGGTTTGTTTTTTCTTTGGCTTTTTTTTGTATTTTTGATTCACCAACTGCGAAGCCCTACTTCCCTTCGTCCCCAGTGATTGGACCTGAAAGGAGGTGGTAACCATTGAAAGTGAAATCTGGCTATCTAAAAGTGTACACTGGAATCAGACCTTCATCTGTCACCCAGACCGGTGTGCTCTTTGCTTAATAAGGGCGGGAGTAGGTGAAATCTACATCTACACAAAGGTATGCAATCTTGAAGACGGGAAGTGGGGCTGAGGTGGGGAAAGGAAGAGCTGTTAATTTGTGAAAGAATGGGTCTCGTTCTCTTCTCCTTGTGACTATCCCAAGGAGTTGAAGTGATTTTGCTTCCTCCCATTTGAATGCAGTACTTGAAGCCTACGGTTACGGAAATTGGTTCCATTAAATGCAGGCTCCACGACCATTCGGGTTTTGGCACTTTCATGGTATCTCATCTGAATTTGTCTTTTTTAACGCCTTGCTGCAACCTTTAAGACCTCTTTTTTGTTCTCGCGATGCAGGAAATGTAGGTGACGAGAAGGGAGGGCTGAATTTTCATTTAATTTAGTCTCTTCTTCTTCATGATTACGCCCACGTCGTGGAGGCGCCTTTAGTAGTGGATCAGAAGGCGATTCTTTTTGGTTCTTGGAGAAGTACTGCGACTCTTGATCGGAAGGATGAAGCCGCGTTTTAGGTACCAACTCCAAGAATGTGTGTTTAGTGAAATAGTCCATATCCCTGCGTTCAGCACCCATCTTCTGGCTGTATACTTCTTCTTCTTCTTCAGTCTTCTTCGGTCCCTCTAAATGGATAAACATTGGCAACCCTCCACCTTGATTGCAATCGTTTCTCGTTTCGTTAGATAAATGGAAAAGGATATTGCGGATAGAGGCAACACTGTTTGCCTTTAAGTGCACTTATTTGGTTCCTTGTGTGAATGCTTTGTCATGTCATGTGTTCAACCGTCATCCCATCGCGCATCTGAGGGAGGGCGAATTATGCTGCCCTCATGGAAAGCGACGGATTGTAAGTCCCGATGCCGCCTCTCTACTGCCCTTTTACTGCAGTCGTCTTTACTGTTTACTTGGCTCACGTGGATGTCGTGGGTGAAGTGTTTGGGGAAGACTTTAGATGCACCTCAAATTGACGCCTCAGGATACTCACCACTTGTGAGGTGAATCGAGTCATCTCGCCAACTGGAGGCTAAGTATATGAATAAACAAATGATTCGCCAAATGGCGAGCTCTAGGGCATTGGTTGTGTCACAGTTTCGTTGCGAAAAGTAGAATTTAATGCTTACTTTCATTCTCTGCTCTCCTGAAGGGACGTGCACCGGTTGGTTGCGAGGAGAATTTGGATGATGATTACGTTTACTGCCTCCATTAACTCGTCAGTTTAGCTGTCTTTTTCGTGGGATCGGGTGTTTTATGTGTGGAAATGTAGCCTCTTCGACCTAGGTACAGGGTCGGAAGAGGAGAGACAGAATTGGGCAGGCAGGACAAGGTGGACGCGTCTAATCCATTCTTTGTGGCTCTGACGCACACACACACAAACCTCACATGCACGTGATGAAGGTGCATTGTCGAGAAAGGGGATGGATTTCAAGGTGGTAGTGCATGTTTCCAAATACGGGAGGCACGAATGTATTGCCGATTTTTCATTTGCGCTGACTGTAACGTTGCTAAATGAATCGAAGGTGTCCGGCTTGAAAGGGTCCTCCTGGACTTATTCGGCTTCGAATTAGACCATCTTTCTTCAGTTTTACTGTCGGATAGTTCTGGAGGAATAACTTGAGCATACCATGGGATCACATGTCGTGGATGGAGAGTGCGTCTACCTCCTTCCGAACGATTTGAAAGGACATATTTGTGTAAGATTATTGAAGATGTTGGCCTCCAAGTGTGCTCCACGTCCTTTGAGATGGTTTCTGTGCTGCCTCCTGCAAAATGCACCCACATATTTGTGATAGCATGATTGTAAAGAGGATTTCTCTGGAGACTCTTCAATTTACACTGATAATGACGGCCCCGGAATCGCCTTTGGAGCGCATAATGATTGACGATGGGTCTCCACTTCAATTGCGGTCTCTTCCTCTGCCCTCCTTGGTGCCAATTACTTTTTTTTGTGCTTAATCTTGATCTTGGATTGGTGTGTAAGGATTTATCGCACTGCTTGCATCCCTTGTCTCATTTCCCCTGCTTAAAATGCTCTGTCATTCTTTCTTCTCACCCCTTAATACATTTTTAGCTCCATCCTTTTCCCATTCTGTTAAAAGGGTGGGGGAAGTCCTCAATCCTAACGTCGGTGTAAGATTTATGGGTGCGTTTAAACATTCTGCATTCCTCTTTGGGCCTCGTGTTACACCTTGTTTTGTCCTCGACTCTACTTGGTTCATCTGTGTTACAGTATTCATTTCTTTTTAATTTTGTAGTGTAAAAGGATTTTTAGATTTAAAGGTCAGTAAATATTGCATTTCACCATATGACAGATCTCAGGCATCTCCTCCTCTCCCACTGCACTGCAATCTCATTGGCTGGTTAGTGACAATAATGGCGTGACCCACATGTTCGATGCGTCACATTTGGTTTTCCTGTGTCTTTTGATGGTTGGGGTTGTTGACTTTACCTCCACACAGATCTTCAATTTGACTGGCATCACTTTTGTGATGCGCTTACCAAGTTGCGCTGCGGAATTGAATTGGTCAAGCTCAAATCAGTGGAATGAATGCAACATTTTTTATGATCTGAGAGTCATCACGTGTTAAAGTGCTGGCCTCTCTCTCTCTCTTTCCCTTACTTGATGGTATCCCAATGTTTAGCGATGCAAGACTAACTCCTTAGAAGTAATTGGTGTAACGGAGTTTGTTGAAGTCGATGACATGCTTTCATTCACCACTCCGCGTCTTGTGATTCGTCGTTCCTGATGATTTTATCACGTCCTTCCGCACAGAACTGACCCAGTGAACTTTCATCTCTCTTCTCTCTTTTATGTCAGAGAAATGCCAACACCGGTGGAATTCTTCTCCTACTGCATTAACTTTCAGACAGTACTGGCCGGTCCTCCATTGGCGTTCAGGGATTACAAGACGTACATAGAGGGCACAGAGGCGGAGGACAGGCATCTCACAGTCAAGCAGCGCACCAATTTTGTAGGTTCTCCTTCTTGTTGAAAGCGGGTATGTGTAGTCAAATTTTCGAGAGGAATAATGCATTGCCCCAAATTAGGCACGATTTTAGGATGGGAGGGCATGTCCCTCACGGAAGCCTCATTGTTGACACGAAAGTTATCCCCGAGGCAACAATGCTTCCACGCTGCCATTGTTGGGTCACTTTCTTCTTGAATGTTATTTTCTAGAAAAGACGACGTTTTATGAAAGCACAAATTTCTTTTGACAAGACGGAGGTGTTGTTAGCGTGTTCATTTCACGTCTTGCGCAACTGCTTTACTGAGTCGGTGGTTTGAAGCTCTTCAGGATTTGTGAGTGGTGTTTTCTTCTCTTTTTTTATGTTAATTTTGCAATTTTATCCATCGGAATCGGAATGTTAAGAGGAGGGAGTTAGAGGCTCCTCCTCCTCCTCCTTCTTCTTCCTCTCCTTGCTTTTCCAAATTGCACACCTAGCCATTTGTTATTGTCGCTCATTTAGAGGTGATGACAGGCAACCGATTATTTTCACGCATAACACTCGTATGCGTGTAATGAGATGCGTTAGCCGGGTACACCCGTAAGTCACGATAAGCGTGACCCGGGGAGTGCTATCATCGTCACAGTGAACGGAACACGATTGGTTGGGAAGGTCGGCAAGGGCGTGAAGTTTACGTTCGTATGCCACGCATCTGATTTGGATCTCAATGGGAAAATCATCAGATAAGAGGTTCAGATCCGACGCCCTCTATTAAGCGGTGTGGGATGAGGAGGCACAGAAAAGTATACTGAGTTTGCTGGATAGACGAAACTGACAGCCACCTGAGGGTTATAGGGTATCACAAACTGAGTCCATTTTGGTTATTTTAGATGCGCACAGCTGTAACAACGAGTCTATTTTGTCCCTTGAGGCGTCAAATAGGACTTTAATGAAATAGAATCAGGTTTATTTGGATGTAGTAGAGTCTGCAAGAAATCTTTTCAGTGTATGGTTAGTTTCATGGCTGCTGAGCTTCGGCGTCTTGGTGATAACTTCAACACCCCATTTATACAAGTAATTCAAGATGTAATATGTAACTACTTCTAAGGGTCTGATCAACTCTCACGATTTTTTTTTTGCCATCTGAACATTAAATGACGCATCATCCCATCTCCACGTAAAGTATTGTAGAAGTAAAAAAAAATCCACTTGTGTCACTTTCCATTCACTTGTGTAATACTGTATTGACGTCAGGTGACGTGTGAATAGTGCACTTTGAAGTAGCCACAGCTCAGGCGTCCTCTCTCTGCTACGAAAAGGATCCGCATTTTGTTGGAAATCACTACGTCTGCAAAGCAGTCTGTGGCTCTTGTCGGTTTGGTGTCCTTTGCAGACCTAACTTGGCGGTCCTTCGCTCGGAGCAGCTATTGACTTACGTCATCGTTACAGTTTTGTGTCTCTCTCTCTCTCTCTCTCAGAAACCGCTCTCGACTGCGCTTTCGCATTTTTCAATCGTTTGTTTGGGAACAGATGTTCTCAAAAAATAGACATTTTCCCCAATGCCATTCCTTAAGCTAGCTGCACTTGAGGACTCATCAATGCATGCATGCGTGGGTCACCAAATGAGTTGGCAGGTGTGGTCACGTAAGCTATGATTTGCGCTGCCATCCTGTTGCATCTTCTGGTTAACTTTGACGGTCCGGACAAATGGCAAGGCATCAGCTCCAGCAGAACGTCAGCAGTGTGTATCCTCCTCATCCCAGTATGCATTGTCGGGGGCTGAAAAGGAGCGACCTTTCGAGGGGCAAGTGGAAATCCCGAATTTACTGCGTCATGAAAACCTTTTCTCTCGCCAAATTGCTCTTTCGTCTGCCTTTGCTGGTGTACAGTAGCGGGAGTTGAGTTGTGAACTGGCAGTTAAGTCATGCACGATGCGTTAAGGAACTCGTGGTTACGAATTATGTGGTGGTTGATTTAGCATTGGTTCCCTCCTTCCCCTCCTCTTCTCCATTAAGTCAGGCCACCTAGCACTAAACATTTGGCTTTTTAATTGTAAGTCGAGCAGACGGTAAGACAATTTCAGTGTTAAACAATCCACTTCCTTAAAACGCAAAAGTCACTGTCGTTGTCGGTGCATGACGTCCTCTATTGTTCACGTAGTGTTTGCAACTTCATTGTTATTGCTGTCGTCGAGGAATATGTCCTTTTTTTCCACGAAATAGCACTGGAAAGGGTCGGGGAGTTGAGGAAGCACTTGAGCAAGGGCGCCTTGGTAACCAGATGGAACGTTAGGGCCTCTCAGCTTCCGCACCTTGATCACGTCACCCACCCGGGCGACATTCATTAGTCTCATTTATCCTTTACTTTGCAGATGAGGAATCGTGATATCCTCCTTCAGCCCAAGGTAATTTCTGTCAATTCAGGCCTTTCTCCATGTATCCCCTCACCACTTTAGAATGAGATCGTGAAGTACTTCCTACAAGCAGTGACGTTTCTCATAATCTACCTCTGCATCTGCCAATTTTTCCGACCATCCTTCTATCTGAGTAGGTCCTTTGGATTGCCTTTTTCTTACTCCTTCTAGGTGAGGCGTTTAGGGGGTATGAATTTTTCCACAAATGTTTCTACCTCATGTTCACGGGTTTCACCATGCGTCAGCACTACTACTTCGCGTGGTCCGTTTGTAAGCAAAAAATAGCGCCTACTGTTACCGCATAAGTAGCGGTAGTTTTCTAGAAGGTAATTTTACTTATTTTTGAAATCAGGTGCGCTCATCTGCCTGGCGTCGGGTTTTGGCTTCCGTGGATTTGATGCGGATGGCAAACCGGATTACACGTTGGTAAAAAGCTTCAACTTCATGGAGGCAGAGGTGCGTACTGCTTCTCAGAACGAATATTCGCGAGAGGTGTCGTTATGGTGTGGTGAGAGCAAAATACTTTTGCACTTTTAGTTTCCACGAAGCGTGAAAGAGCTGACGGATAATTGGAACCTGCAGACGCTGCGGTGGCTGCGGATCACCATATTCGATCGAACACCACGCAACATTGCAGTTTTTGCCGTGTTCTTTGTATCCGTGCTATGGCACGGCTTCTATCCTGGATACTACCTCTTCTTTGTGTCGATGGCGTGGTTTTCCGTGGTAAGACTGCGTTCGTGTTCATTTGAGCACGATGAATTTCTCTGGGTTCACTTCTCTTTCATTAATTTAGCCTAAGGAGAGAGTGAAGGGTGGAGAATATCTTGTAGGTTGTGCCAATATCATCGCCCGATTGTGGTTAAATAGGTCTTTTAAAAGCAAACACTTTCTCTTTTCATCTGTCAGTGCACCTCTAGTTCAGACTTTCGCCCTCGACGATGTGATGAGCAATGCCATTTGCTATTAGATGCATCGCGACCATAGCTGTTCCTTGCTGCTAACCAATAGAGTCTCTCCAATAAGTTGAATTGATCATTGAAAGTGCTGCCATGAGTCGCGTGCCTGTTGTCTGGCATTACAAGCAGTGGCGATGCCTGGCACTACTCACGACTTATCAGTAGCACTCACCTTGGAGTTGTCTTTTCACACTGAAGATTGGTCGGATGGTGAGGCGGCGCCTACGTCCGCGCATCCTCGAGTGGCTACCCGATACGAAGTGTGTGTGGACACCGGCAGGTCAACGCGAGGGCACGTCGCGCGCCTACGACCTCATTACACGTACAGTGACTTACTTTCTGGTCAATTACACGGCACTCGCCTTTGTCATCCTCTCCTTCCGCGACAGTATCATCGCATGGTCGTAAGTCTGTGCAGCTGACAAGCACTTGTCTCTTCGGTGCAAACGTGCTGCACTTTCCCACTTCCAGTAGCTCATGTGCCTGTTTGGCGGGTTTTCCGCATAAGTCTTCTGTGCAGTTTACGTCTACTGCCCGATCCGAGTCGTTGGTCTGCTTTTAGTGCCTTGTGTGCGCATGAGTTGATCGTGGTAACCATGGCCTGCCTAAAAACTTGTTCCAGTGTGGCTTGGTTGTATGGGATGGGTTGTTTGGTGCTGATGCAATGTAACTTGCACCTGCCTTATTGTTTGGTTTTTTAGGCGTTTCAGCTATGCAGGCCACTTGCTTTGCCTGGTGGCTCACCTACTAATGCTGCTTCTGCTGCCACCCTCGAAGTCGACACTGTCGACATCCAAGTCCAACAAAAGTGCTGTGAAGTGCATCCATCCGAGTCGTCGACTGCAAGATGACCACGTATATATCATTGTGACAGTCATACATATCGAAAGTAAACTCACTCCTTCTCTCGGTCGTTCGTTTGCTTACTTGTTGGTTGGTTGGTTGGTTGGTTTTCTTGCAGTCTTCTTTACTTGCAAGTGTGTGTGTGT